TCTCTGTATATATATATATATATATATATATATATATATATTCAATACTTCTCAAAAGCTCGGAAGCACAAAGATATGAGATTTCAGTTTATAAGAACTAAATCCCAACACGAAACCAATCTGATACTTGTTATTTATTACCGGTTGATTAGAAAAATTACGGATTCCATTAATTGATTAACTAGACTGGTTTAATCCTAAATTAGGTGATCAGGCTAAAAAGAATCAAGATCAAGCATTCATTAAACACAAAACTGAAAAATCTAGATAGAATCACAAATCAAAAACCAGGTATAATGACTGATTACATGAAAAGTACTAATCTATGCATAACTGAAATCTAGGGTTTAGCCAGACATGGCTAAAATCTGATCTAAAATAATAAAAACAAACATTAAATAGCTAAATCTTACTAAACTAAATGTATGAGATGATCCGCAACCTTTAGATATCCATAAATTGATTTTACAAAAAGTGTAGAAATCGCCTAAAAAATCGTATGAACAAGGATTTTTGTCGTTTGGAACGTCTAGGGTTCAAATCGATCAGAGAATCAGTATTTATATGCAAGCCAGCAACGTCCATAATAAAAATCAAGAAAACATGATCGTGTTTATAGGAAAAACACGATCATGTTTTTGCCTATAATATCCGAAAATCCCGTTTAATGAATTATGTTTCTGTTTCTGACACTTTTCTCAAAAGCACAATTGTGTTTGTGCTTTAAGGTGCCGAGACTTGATTTATGGCTTGGAAAAGTTGCGAAGGTAAAGCACGATCATATGGTGAAAAACACGATCGTGTAAACTCAAAAACGTGTGTTTTGGATGCAAACTCTTTAGCTTCATCAAATATGACCCAACTTCCAGCTCCCTCAGGTGTTTTAGCTCCAATGTTCCATTAAGCTCCAAATATGTATCCAGAGCTGCTCCCAAAGTACCGCTCCACTCGAAATATCTAAAAACGATATAAAAACATGAGCAGTACGAGAATTCTAGCGATAAAATTGAGTTGAACATTAATTAAACTAATGCATATGAAATAACACAAAATATGATGGAAATGCTAATAAAAACTACCATATAAGATGCATAAAATGGCATTATCACTACCAAACTAAAAATATATGAAAAGGTAAAGATAAAAGAAAATACCCCACCCCAAGCTTAAGAAAAAACATTGTTCTCGATGCTCGAGGCAACAGTGGAAATGACCTATATCGGAGGATCGGGCAGATGGGAGTATCCATGGTTGTGGTTTCGTGAAATTCTGATTGGTAGAACTCCGATAAATCATGTTTTTCCAAGCACAGATGAGTGGCGGTGGGTTGGTCTTGCAATGAGAAAGAGATTGGAACGGGGTAGGGCCAACTGATGCTGTAAAAGAAAGCTTATTGTTTTAATTCACTGGTAAAATAAGGTCAACGTGGTCAACAACTTAGTCAACGAAGTTAACAAAGTCAACATGGAGGTTGTTTGGCATGCGGGTCGCACACAAACATCATGGAACTAGCACTTTCCGAGATTTTTTTTACCATTAACATGTCACTCGCGCAACCCTCCCACGTACAGCTACGCGGGTCACACAGAGAGGTCGTGTACAGAAGGCGTGCAAGCTTGCGCGGGGCGCGTGCTAACAGCATACTTGATTCTTTTTTTTTTTCTATCGTTTTTCTCCCTTCTGGCTTGCATTAGAAGGTCTAAAACACATGGTAACACTTGATTCTTAAGAACAAATATTTACAACCACAAAAATATCTTAAAAAACCCTTTATTCGAATTAAAGACGCGAAAGCATAATGCTTTCCAAAAATTTCCTTCTTCAACGTCTTTGGCGAGACGTCTTACCAACTTCACTTTAGTACTTTGGGGTGTCCAAACGGACAATTTATTAGACATTTGAATCAAATCCTTCATAGAACGACTTCAACCGGTGTCCATTAACCTTTAAAACTTGTCCCGTGTCGACACTTTGAATTGCCACCACTCCATGCTTTCACTAAAATAAAGGGACCATTCCATCGAGATCTCCATTTTTCTAAAAAAAAAATTAGTCGGGAACGATAAAGACGAATGTTTTGTCCCAGCTTGAAATGTTTTTGTGAGATGGACTTGTTGTGAAAAGTATTCATTTCCTTCTTATAAATCTTGACATTTTCATGTGCTCTGTTTCTCGAATCATCAAGCTCTTGGATTTGTAACTTTTCATGCATCCTTAATTGGCATGTGTCCAACTTGTCGACCACTTCATCAATTTTCGGCTTTGAAGGATGGTGTTTTATCTCCCCTTTCAGGCTTCCTTGGTTAAGACCTTTACTTAAACTCATCTCTAACGATTCATGGTTAGTAAATCCAAATAAATTTTGAGTTAAATGTTCAACAACATCAACAAAGTACAAAGAAGATATATCTCTAAGGTATCTCATGGAATCATTAATACTGAATTTAATCACCACTAAATTCCATTGTGATGTTACCCATATACACATCAATGTTTGTGTAATGCCTCAAAAATCACAACAAATTTAAACTTTTTTAAAACAACCCAAAATCATAAAATCTTTACAAAATCATTGTTTCCAAATTGTTTATCAATATCAGAGTATCCCAAAATCATAAGCCATAAGCAGAGGATGTGTACGGTCATGCATTCGCTTTCCCGTGATCATCAAAAGTACCTGAAACAATAAACTAAAACCGTAAACCAAAGCTTAGTGAGTTTCCCTCCAAAGTACCACCACATAAAACATATCAAACAAACAACATGCATAACTGAGCCTTCAGCCTGACTGGACCGCCTTGCAGGGCCTACAACCTATCTGGACCGCTCCCGAGCCTTCGGCATGACTGGACAGTCTCGCAGGGTCTACAACCTATCTGGACCGCTCATCGGGCCTTTGGTCTGACTGGACCGTCTTGCAGGGCCTACAGTCTATCCGGACTGCCCCGGGTATCTTGGCCTTCAGCACAAAGCAGGACCGCCTCAACCCAACCAACCATAACATGTCGATATGTACATAACAAATATACATATAACCAGTCAACGGAAAACAGACAAATCTATAAATCACTACCGCATGCTAACATCCTATATTATATACCAGGATACCGATCAGACGAATCTATACAACATAATCACATACTATCATATAACAGGATATCCAATCCAATGGGTCGGCCTTGGTGCCTTCGACCCACAAGTACATTGAGGAAGACTCATCTCACAGTCTGACGAAAAACCGACCAATACTCTGATCCCATTAATAAAATAATCACAATTTCCTAAATTACCCTTGGTCAAACTTGGTCAGAACTAACAAGTAAATTGAGTCAACCCAGCCGAGTTGACACAGAACGCGTATGCAGGGCGTACTCCAGAGGTACGTGGGGCGTACTCTAGCTTGACTGTGATTGGGGTGGTTGACCGAGCACACTCGGCGTACACATAGATATACACGGCGTACTCACAAAACTTCTCATTTTCACATTAAGAGCTTAATACATTGACTTAATGTGTCCAATTGCAGTTCCAATGCCAAAATACCCGGGGCGTACTCACCCTTTTAGGTCAATTCAGTTGTTCAAAGTCACATAAAAGCCAACGAAAAAGGCGTACTCACCCTTTTAGGTAGAACTTTTATTATAATGGTCAATGTTTAATTCTCGTCAGAGTATTTTTTTTCACAAATGACATCTAAAGGTCAATCCGGTTGTTCGAACTCACTTAAAAGCAGTGGCGTAGCCAAAATTTTATTTTTGGGTATGCCAAATAATTTACAATGTATGAACGAGACATGAGATTTAAAGTGTTGAATTAGGGTAGACCAAATAATTTACAAAGTATGAACGAGATATGGGATCTGAAGTTTTGAATGGGATGAATTAATTCCTTTTATTTAACAGAAATATATATAATATATATATATATATATATATATATATATATATAAACTTTAATTTTTGCGGGTGGGCCAAGGCCCACCTTTGCCTCTATGTGGCTACGTCACTGCTTAAAAGTCAGTAGAAATGACAGAAATGACGTACTCACCATTTTAGGAGATGTTATTGTGGTTTAGAAGCTCGACTTGCACAACAAGTAAATGAAGACCCCTACAATGTTGATACAAGAAATGCTTAGTGAGTTTTAACCATTAAATCGACCTTGTAGGAATCTTCATTTACTTGTTGTGCAAATCGAAATTCTAAACAACAATAACATCTCTTGAAAGGGTGTAAGTGAGTTTCAACCATTAGATCGATCTTCATTTATTTGTTGTACAAATCGAGCTTCTAAATTGAGCTTCTAAACCACAATAACATCTCCTGAATCAGTCAATTGATTGATATTGCAACAAAATTGTAAATATAATGACATAATTGAAAAAATAAACTCGATGCGAAAATCGAAATTTTGTGGTAATATAGTAACTTTCTTGCAAATTTAAACTCGGAGTCAAAATCGAAATTTTGGTAAACTTAGTGATTTCATTGCAATTCGGGAAAAGTGGTTATCGGGAGAATAGAAACATGGGTGGAGCTTATATATGGCCAGGGGGCTGTGCCTGCCCCACCCCCCCCCCCCCCTCCCTTAACAATTAGTTTATAACTATTTAAAAAGTTACATATTATGCCTAAAACTATAAAATTTGACTTTGGCCCCCCTATTCTTCAATTTTTATACATATTTTATTTTCGGCCCACTAAATCAAAACTTCAAGCTCCGCCACCGAATAGAAAGAACTAATCATTTGGTTGATATTGCAACAAAATTATAAATATAGTGATATAATTGCAAAAACTGGAAAAAAAAAAAAAAACAGTATCAAAATCGACTTTTTATGGTAATATAGTTTTTTTTTTTTTTTTTTTTGTAATAAACCGTATTATACATGACGATTATTTTTACGTTACAAAGGACATAACAAGGAATTTCGTAATTTGGTCATAGATACGTGATGATTGTCTGTCTGATCAAACTTGCAATTTGGTCATAGATACGTGATGATTGTCTGTCTGATCAAACTTGCTGTTTACATCACACAAGAGAAAACAAGGGAATTTTGTGAAATGCTACTGTAGTACAGGGTAGCAATGTGAAACTTTTTGTACCGGCGGCATATATAAACCCCCAAGATTGACGCTAGGGTTTTATCTATTATCCCAGACCTCCTCCGTCACTCCTCTCAGCTTGCGTTCATCGCTCTATATCTTATCAACGCCAAGGTAAATGTTTTTCAGCCTTCAATTACCATCCGATTTCATAAATCGATTCAATATATCTCTATTGTAAATCAATTTCTGTACAATAGTTTAGGTAATTTTACGATCGGTTTCTATAGTCTGTTTTAATAACCGCGAGCTATGAGCCGAAATTAAAAGGTTGCATGATTTAGGAGTGTGATTATCGACTGTGCTAGGGAGTATGTCTAGCATTTAATATGTTGATGTTTAAGTTCGCCATTTGTGAAGTTACTACTGATTATAAGATTATAAGTTTGCATTTACATTTGATTATTGATACTTATCGACACATCTATCCTTCTATTGCTTGTGGCAGATGAATGTTGAAAAGCTACAGAAGATGGCAGGTGCTGTGCGCACTGGTGGGAAGGGAAGCGTGAGAAGGTCCGTCTCTAATATGTTGTCGTGCTTTAGAGATGTGTATCTGTATTGAATTTTTGGTTGTTTACATACTCAATTTGATCCAAACCTGCAGAAAGAAGAAGGCTGTACATAAAACAACCACCACAGATGACAAGAGGCTGCAGAGCACTTTGAAGAGAATAGGTGTAAACGCAATACCAGCAATTGAGGAAGTTAACATTTTTAAGGATGAAACAGTTATCCAGTTCTTAAACCCTAAAGGTACCAATTTTAACTCTTATCCTTTTATTATAACTATAAGTTAACAGGAGAAATCAATAATCTTTGTTCATATGTCTTCAGTTCAAGCCTCTATTGCTGCCAACACATGGGTTGTTAGTGGTACTCCTCAAACAAAGAGTAAGCTGCCTTTCTATCTTTTTTTTTTTTTACTTATGTATGCATCTTTCATAGAAAAATAAACTGCAAATTCATCTTGCTTATATTATTAAGATGTTTTTTCGACTTAATGGGGGATATTGATATGTTATGTATGACTGGTGTATGATAATATCTGTTTTTATTATGTTTTATTTCAGAATTACAAGATATTCTCCCTGGCATTCTCAACCAGCTTGGTATGCCTAAATACCATGTTTTCAATTAGATTTTGTGTTTGTTTTTTGGTGATAAAAAGATGACATTTTTTATTGTTTTTTACAGGGCCAGATAACTTGGATAACTTGAGAAAGTTAGCAGAGCAGTTCCAGAAGCAGGTGCCAGGTGGCGCTGAAGCCGCTGCTGCCACATCAGCACAAGTGGACGATGATGATGATGTCCCAGAACTTGTGGCAGGTGAAACCTTTGAGGCTGCTGCTGCAGAGGAAGGACAAAAGTCGTAGGTTCTTTGAGGTTACATTTTATATTTGCATTATTTATTGCTTTGAACCATTATTTTTCTTTATTTGATACGTTCCGTTTGGATGTGCCCTTGATGTGCCCTTTTTGTAACTTGTAGGAATATGTATGGTGTTTATTAGTCATTTTGTTCTACTTGTTTTGATCAATTCGCTCTCTAAAGTTATTTGTAAAATTTTCCACTATTTATAATCCCCTAACTCCATCTTCAATTGTAATACCAAAAAAACCAAAATTGTAACTTTCAACTGTCAAATCATGAAATTTACACATAAAATAGACACATGTTGGCTATAATAACTTGGTGATTCTAACTGCTTTGTACCACGATCTCATTATCAAACCATCACCATTCTGAGTTCACTGAACTCATACTCCGCAACTCAACATGTATATGTGCACACACCCACCCAGATTAAGCATTACTGCTCTTGACGAAGATTGTTGCATACAAAGCACATTCCCTCAATACAAATCTACACCTTTGGACAACCCCGTCTGGCGACAAATAACTGATAGGTTCACAACTGGGATAGATATATAGTCGTTTCGATGTCCTACTTGCCATCAAAACAAACCTGGGCCTTATAATAATCCTATAATCCAATAAGTTAGGGCATCAATACAAATCTACACCTTTGGATAACCCCGTCTGGCGACAAATAACTGATAGGTTCACAACTGGGATAGATATATAGTCGTTTCGATGTCCTACTTGCCATCAAAACAAACCTGAGCCTTATAATAATCCTATAATCCAATAAGTTAGGGCATCAATACAAATCTACACCTTTGGATAACCCCGTCTGGCGACAAATAACTGATAGGTTCACAACTGGGATAGATATATAGTCGTTTCGATGTCCTACTTGCCATCAAAACAAACCTGAGCCTTATAATAATCCTATAATCCAATAAGTTAGGGCATCATACTTGGAAACCACGATACACCATCACAGAATCTCATGATAGCATGTCACCATCACAGAAACCACTGATCTTCATCTTACACAACTCAAAGCCTTTGAAGTACTCCAACTCATTAGTGAAGCATGGAAAGATCGTCAATGACAGAGGACGCGTTGACGACAATCCAAAACCCCAACATTTACTGATCAAAACCCATGTGAAACTACACATACCGACTTTGAAGTTGATTAACAATTCAACTGCTGCCCCTCATGGAGTATAGATAGCAATTTATACGTTAAACTAGCAAATCTCTCAATAATCGAAACCTGACCTCAACGACCAAACCGCCTTAAAACTCGAACATTGGCAAACCCGAAAGAAACACTGACCACCATAAGACCCCTGGCCAACGACTACCTGCCGTGAAGACACCCATTCATTCCTGAGCACATACAACATGCATCATCTCGCTCTGCACATTGCCTTGACTACCTCTAGACCCAAGTCTCATATACCTGGACCGCAGATCTCTATAACCCAATCTTCTGAACCGCAACTTAACAGACTAATGATCTTCCCGACAGAATACTCAGTTCTCCCCCACTTAGGGTTTGAACCATCGCTAATTGGCATACAAAACAGACCACACTACAAACTGGCTCACCAGATATAACATACCCGATTCATGGAACGTACCATGCAACACTCGATGACCTTCTAGATAATGACCAAGCAACTCCAAGTATTCTGAATCTCAGATGGAAACCTCGGAAACCTCCCAATGTGACTGCCTCCAGTCACCTAGAATCTCATTCGGCTGCACAGGCAAATATTTCGACGGTCCTAAAATAGCACTGACTCTTTATCTAGAAATAATGAACTATCACACACTTCATTCTCTGAATCCTCAACCAACACCCCATCGCAAGAATCGACATAGAAACAGAAGACCTCTCTCTCACAGTCGATTTGCAGCATAGACAACGAGGGTCGTCATTCCGATATACTCCTCCTGCTTCCTGAAACAGTCGTAAGAATACGCCTCAATTTACTCAATTAAGGCATATCTTTGTCCTCGCCAGTCCCCACTGATGACTCTCTTACAGCATAAGAAATACCTCAAGGCGGTCATACCACAAAATCTTTTGACGCAAATACCGCAACTATCTAGTACCCCACGGGGTCTACTCTAAATTCTGAAAAGCAGAAGCTCACTCACCCTTCCTTCCAACACGGAAAAGCTGGAATATTATAGTCCTCGTCATAGAAATGACATCGCAAATCATCGACCGATCACTCAACTCAGGCTGCAATTCACAACAACGCATCACCTCCACCTCCCTTTTGAGTCCTACGAATCCAACTGGCATCTCACTGGTCAAACCCTTCGAGACCTAACTCAATTTCCTCGCGAGGTCTACTCCATTCAAACCCGACCGACATGGCCCTTGAGCCCAACAATCACTAGATCCACTATCAGTTCGAACAACCGCAGTCGGATAACCGACAGAGACGGAAAACGCACTCTGTAACGAACCATGGTACCCAAACCATGTTATCTTCCCTCGACCTGCTACTTAGAACCCCTAGAATTCTCCTCGTTTCGAGTATGAATCCTATGCTTTCAGTAGTATGGGCCCAATACTAATTTCCACATCTGTCCATACTTTCCTCGAGAATCGTTCCAGATTTTCTAGGTAGTTGCTCAAATTTCCCCATCGACCAATCTCATTCCACATGCTCGTTCTTCAGCGAATACTCACCGCTAAACAGCGCACTTATTGAACTAAAAATACTTTCTAGGCTCCCCTAGGATTTCCCTCACTCCGCTCTCCGCCATCAACTGCAAAAAGGAACTCCTAATAATACCTACTAACTACTTCTCAAATACAGCTACATGCTTCATGCACTAGATAATTCTTCGACTGCAAGATCCCGCCCTACAACGACTAGGCCCACTCGAGAGCCGCGCCATAGAGCTAAATCTAACCTTCTAAAATTATATACTCCATGGAACATGTAACCTAACGTATTCGATTAATAGTTAGTCGGTGTTATTGAAAGTTTCTAAAAGCACAAAGCAAGCAGCATTCGGGCATCAAGCAACCTCCACCAGCACAAAAGGCACCACTGAACTCAGGCAAACCTACCTCACAACTCCTGGAGATCTCTAATCATAAGCATGCAACACTACTAGATCACATAACAGACATAAAGGCATCTTTCCTAAGCAGGTACACTAGCATGCGATACTGAGCAGATTTCTAGCCTTAAATTAGCATGCAATTCTATCAGCTCATAATAACAACACATAATCAAGTAAGGGTATTTTGGGAAATCACCGCTCAGGCTCTGACTGATTGTACACACCGCTTCGGACCTGCTTTCAAAACACTTTAATTTCCTTGGAAATTCGTGTGATGAAAAATCATTTCTTTTGAAAAGTTATCAACTCCTCAGTTTGAGTTCAGACATACCCGAGGGTGTGCTCGAATCCCTCAAAGCAAGGCTTTAATACCAAATTGTAACACCTCAAATTTCAAGAGAAATTTTTCATTTTTAATTCACCAAACAATACTCATAATCCCAAATTATCACAAAAGTTATACGTCATTTTCAAAACAATATCAGAGTATCCCAAAATCCGCAAATCTTCATGAACCGACGTATGTATACAATCATGCATTCGCCTCCCTGGAATCTACAGAAGTACCTGAAACGCATTTAAATCAACATTGTAAGCACGAATCTTAGTGAGTTCCCCAAAATATCACATACACAAATAATAAGCCTCTCGTGGCTAAATCTCGATAAGGACCCTCCAGTCATGTATCTCAGTGAAGACCCTCCGGTCCCACGTCTCGCTATAGACCCTCCGGTCACAGCTCAACATATATACAAAATATTATAACAACATAAGTCACAAAGAAAGAATGCATAATAACACATAAAGCAGATAAGGCCCTCCGGTCAAAAATACCAATAAGACTCCCTAGCTCAATAATATAAGACCCTCCGATCAACAACATAAATAAGACCCTCCAGTCAATAACATAAATAAGACTCTCCAACCAATAACATAAATAAGACGTTCCGGTCACGCATTCATTACCACACACGTAAGTATAGTGAGAAGACTCGCCTCAACCGCTACGCGAGAAATCCTACACTGCTGCTGCTGTTGCGCACTGGCTCCTGAACTGGGTCAAAACAACCCAACACCATAATCAAAAACTATGCAAGGCTACACCCCAACACTACGCCCCAAAGATGTCCCCACCCAAACAAGCCCACAATGACCCAAACCCAATGGGCCCACCAAGGCCCAACCAAGAGATCCATAAAAGGCCTACTAATGGCCCATTTTCCAAATTGGGCCCAACCCCCATATGGGCCTTATCCTAAGCCCAAAGCTTCTCTTAGCCCAACAATAATCTCAGATGGCCTAGAGGCCCAAACAGAAAGTCCAAACAAAACGGATACGAAGCCCAAAACACAACAAGCCCATAGCGAGACTACGCGGGGCGTACCTCCACCGCTCAGCGTACACGCGACTCCTGATCAGGGAAACTAGACCAGTATGCGGGGCGTACCGCTCAGATCCAAAAACTCTATTTTCGACTTAACCACTTCAGTCAAAAGCATCCAAACCTTAGGGAAGCTTCATTTCAAGCTCTTAACTGATAAAGTTGGCAACTTTATCAGTTTGCATGTCTTAATGGGACCCGACTTCCAAAAATAACCATTAAGACTCTCTTTAATCATCTTAACACATGCATGGAGAGATCTAGACGACCAAGTTCTCATTTTTATGAATCAAAACAGCTCAATACACTTAAAAGGACATGAGATTTGCCCTGGAGTTCACCAAACTCACAAAGTTCCAATCTTGGGACATAAAACCCTAAAAATGGACCCAAAACAAGAACTAGCACAACAATGAGCAACTTTCGAACTTGATATCTCTGGAAGATGCATCAACTAGAGTGGAACTCAGATCCAAAAGCTAGAAGCACCATCTATCCACCTTCAAGACTCCTTCACCAAGAGCTTCACTAAAAACACTCAAATGAGCCACCACACTCACACAAGCTAGGGGAAACGAGATTAGGGTTTGAGAGGGCTTGGAGACTGGAAATGGTGGCTGAAAAAGAGGCCATCATGTTCCTTAAATAGGGTCACCTCAAAATATTAGGGTTTCTTTCTGGACATAGTACACCCAGCGTACTAGGTGGCCTCCACGATCATGCAAAGCGCATGAGTATGTTGCGCGTACACAAGTGTACGCCCCGCGTACCCAATTTGCCACCCATTTCTCAATAAGGACTAAACTTGCCAAAACTTCAAACTATCATAACTTCTTCGGTATAAGTCCGTTTCCAACGAACCTTATAT